TTTGCCTCCCGGCAAAGAAATAAAAAAATAATAATAAAATCAAGAGCCAGATCACGTAAACTGTTAAGACTGGCTATTGTAATATCAGCGTCTGGTAAGATTACTCACATTCATTTCTGCACTCAATTACATAATGTTTTAAATTCCATATGTATTTTTAGAGAAACCTTTATTCTAGAGAAAATTGTCTTAAATCAACTTCAATCTTATTTGTCTCAAAATTCTATTTATGAAAAATTTCAGTCTGGTTTTAATCTCGTCACAGTACGAAGTCGGCCCTCTTAAGAGTTCTAAATGATGTCATGTTGACTACAGATTCTGGCCAGTCTATGGCTCTGGTCTTGTTAGACCTTAGCTCTGCCTTTGATCTGGTCAACCATGATATTCTTATATCTCGTCTTGAGGCATGTGTTGGTTTACGGGGCACAGTATTACAGTGGTTTAGGTCATATCTTACTAACAGGAGATATGTCGTCAACATTGGGCATCATTCCTCCTCTGAGATGCTTTTAAGATCCGGTGTACCTCAAGGATCGATTCTTGGTCCGGTATTGTTCTTACTTTAGGGATTATTATTAACAAGCATGGGGTCTCTTTCCATCTGTATGCAGATGACACCCAAATTTACATCCCCTTAAAGTGTGGTAATAAGCATGCCATAAAGCCCATTTTGGATTGCCTGAAGGAACTGAAACTTTGGCTTGCAACAAATTTTTTGTGCCTCAATGAAAGTAAAACTGAATTCATTATGTTTGGTCCCAATGATCATAGTGTACATGACTTCAAACTACATCTCTGTCACCATACAGTACCACCTGTGTCAGAAACTTGGGTGTTTGGTTTGACAATAACCTTAAATTTGACAAGCAGATAAGTACCGTTGTTAAGTCCTGTTTTTATTATATCCGGCTTCTCTCCAAAGTGAAGTCATTTCTATCATTAAAGAAGCTTGAAATAGCAATACATGCATTTGTTACATCCAGGCTTGACTACTGTAATTCTCTGTATGTTTGTGTTCCTCAGTCCTGTGTTTCTCGTCTGCAGTTGGTCCAGAATGCAGCAGCTCGGCTTCTTACTGGAAAGTGCAAATATGAGACTGTTACACCGGTTTTAATATCACTTAATTGGCTTCCAGTAAAGTACAGAATTGATTTTAAAATTCTACTTTTTGTTTTTAAATCTCTTCACAAGTTGGCCCCACTGTACTTAACAGAGTTGTTACAGCCTCATACTTTGTCGAGATCGCTAAGATCTACTAATTCTGACCTGCTGCATGTTCCTAGGACAAGGCTAAAAACGAGAGGTGACCGTGCCTTTTCTGTTGTCGGCCCAAAACTTTGGAATAGTCTCCCCTCTCACATCAGAACTGCCCCAACCTTGTCTGTTTTTAAATCCACTCTAAAGACCTATTTATTTTTGTTGGCGTTCGATATCCCATGACAAATTGTCTTTGACTTTGTTCTCAGGAACGCCACACATTTTACAGCTTGTGTATATTCTGTGTATATTTAATGTGTAATTTTGCAATTTGCCTATTGTTGGTATAGTGTTGTAAAGCACTTTGGTCAACTCCGGTTGTTTTTAAACTGTGCTATATAAATAAAATTGTATTGTATTGTATTTATGAAAATTAAACATGGATTTACTACAAATAAATAAAAAATAAAATAGTTAAACTAAAGTAACCACACATTAACATGGTTTTGCTATGCTAGCCATTTAGCGTCACCATGGTATGTGTGATTATACTAAATGGTAATCAATCCGAATGACTATACGCAATGCACGCATACAGAGCGCGTGATCTCTGTGACACCCAGATGTACAGGTGCATCTCAATAAATTAGAATGTCGTGGAAAAGTTCATTTATTTCAGTAATTCAACTCAAATTGTGAATTATACTAAATGGTAATCAATCCGAATGACTATACGCAATGCACGCATACAGAGCGCGTGATCTCTGTGACACCCAGATGTACAAAACAGCCGCTTCCACCTCTGTAATAAACACGGAGATGTTAGTCCCATCCGAATTGGTACATGAAAAGCGCAGACGTCAGGTGATAAGAATCGAAACTCAAATGTAGTTTAGAAAACTAGTCCCGTCCGAATAGGGCTTTATTTTCATTTTTGGGTGAACTAACCCTTTAAGATTTGTACTCAGGGAAATTAAAGTAGTCAAACCTGTTCATTAGAAGGGGGTGTCCCAATACTTTTGGCAATATAGTGTACATGTATATTTGACAGTTAATTAAAGATGTTTCATACGCCTTAATTTGCCTTATATTAGACTTGTAGCGAGAAAAATTATATCAGAAAAAAATGTGTACCTTAAGTCTTCTGTAAAATTGCCTAAAAAAAATCTATAGATATAAAACACTTGAATCATATTACAATGTTAGTTTAAATGTTTAACATAGATAAGTGCGCTGTTAGGCGTATATCTAAGCATTTGTGCGGGGAGTGTAAGCTAAAGTGCACTTAAAACATTTAGGCGCCAGAGCAATCACTTGCATTTTTTTTTTAAATAACAGTGGAAACTCCTTAAAATACGCCGTCATTTTTGCTCATACAGGTAAGACTAATAGGTGTCGACCGATTATCGGCGCCGATTTATTAAGCATTTTATGATTATCGGTATCGGTCATTTTCAAAACCGATTCGCCAATAAAATAACTTAATTTTGAAACGCGCTATTTGGCTCTGATGCAGCCTGTCAGAACTCACCACTCTGTGGCCTAAAGCAATCTCCACCCACCGCCCATCTGATTTGTTGGGAGTCACGAGTCCGACCAATCAATGCGGAATTCACTCTCACTCCAAAAGCGCTTGATTGAATGTCTGAAAATGTACCTACAACTACAAGCCACTTTTGTGTTCTTCTGTACCACCTCTGTAGTACAAATTAATTTTTCATTAATACTAGTTTCATGATGTGAAAAGGTATGGTGACAGGTATGGCTGTGGAATGGGGTTTGGCCGAGGAAAATTTTTCAGTCAAAAGATTTTTTTTTTTGCTTTAACCCCTGACTACTACAACAATTATTACAACTTTTGTTTAAAAGAATAATCACACAATACTCTATTTCTTCCATGTTTTAATTTTAATAGTAACCCCTTTGTTTGCCAAAAAATAAAGAGTTTAACTCTCATTTGATTAAAAGATAAATTAAATTGATTTATGTCTTAATTTGCACTGTACTGCAAATTAAAACTAACTGAAATTTCTAGTGTCACATAGGCCAAGACATTTCAATAGGCTACTGAACTAAGTGCGCCTGTAAAAGGCTATTAGTGCTATAGTTTCATGAAAATAGTTGCAGTTTTCTTAACAACTTCTACAATATAGCTATGAAGACAATTAAATTATTTACACTTATTATATACATTTTTTTTATTGAATCCATTGATGTGCATTAGATGATGAATAGTCACCTCTACTATTGTAGGTTATGTTTTAATCATCAGAAAATAATTAATGAGGAATTATGAGAGGTTATGCTGTTACACATACATTTCTAACATGTAAATTATTGAAGCTAAATACTTACATTTCCCCAAGCTGTTTAGCTGTAGTACAGTATTCATAGGCTTAATCGTGAAGCATACAGTGGCCCCACTTTTAACTCCCTCTTTATATTACCCTTATTGTAGATGGATGCACAGAGGAAGACAAGAGTAAGAAGTGCAGTGTGGGA